TAAAGTTGGTGAATGTGAATCATACAAAAGAGCCTTAGTGTCCACACAGGACAAACCCCGGCCTTGGGGCTTCCACACAGGTTGTGCTTTCCACAGGAACAATCTCAGCTTCTCTCCTACTCCCACCCCCGCATAGAGGTCACATCTAGGTCGGTTTCCCCACACCCTCCATCTCCCCTCTGCCAACAGGTGGCATCCTCTTTCTTTTGTGCTCTCCTAACAAACTATTTTTTTAAAATAACCTGTTATCACAAGTGTAATCAATGACATCATGAATGGGTGAGTATGTGTCTCCCCTACTACCCTGTGAATTTTAGGTGGCGGAGGACAGCCTTTTTTTCTGACTGTCCATTATACCTCCTGTACATCATGCATAGTAGGTATTTACCTGGTCTAGAGTAGGTACATAATACATATTTATTCCATGAATGAATGAATGAATGAATGAGTGAATACATGAAGTACCCAAAGGCAATCTCTTCATTAACATAGTCCTTTGCATTGTTAGGTTTGACGGAGCAATTGAGTTGATACCCTTCCCCAGGGAACTGGCTTTTCAGGTCATTTCGCTATGGACATCCCCTTTGCTGAAGATTACTTTTCACTTATGGTGACCACATTCCATTCTCTCCCCTCTGGGTCTGCATAAAAAAGTCTCCGCCCAGAAAAATGCCGCCAAAAATCCTTTAAAAGCTGCTGACTCCCCTCACTGGGTGCTGGAGCCATCCAGGCTCAGCCACCTGGTGTGCGGATGATCGAATAAACTCATAATCCCTCACCTCTCTGGCCTTGTGCGTTCCTCCTTCAGCAACCTAACAGTATAACAACAACAACAACAAAACACTATTAAATGTGGGTCAGAGGGAGTCCTTGCATCCTCACCCAAGATCACGCAGCTAGTAGGGACAGAGGCAGGACTGGGACCCAGGTTTCTCTCTCACCTGTGAAGAACTCAGTCCTGGCCCAGCATGCCCCACTTCCCATCTACTTCTAGAGACTTCGTTTGGAGAGGTGTGCCTAGCCTAACAGCTCTCCCTGGTCCAAAGGAAAGAAACGTGGGCGGAAGTAAAAGTGTGACAGTCAGCTTCATTGCACAATTGCCTAGTTTCGGTTGGTTTGTTCCCTTACCTCATTGCTATTTAAACACAGTTTTGATGATTCTTGTTTGCTTTAGAGGAAGAAAAAAAGATGCAGAAAAGGTATAAAATTGCATATTATTTACCCCAGAGACGAGAACAGTCCCGCCAGTAAATATGCATTAAAGCTGTTGTATTTGTATTTGTATTTGGAAGGTGTTTAAGTAGACCCAGCAGACTGTAATACCTCTCTTCAGAGTTGGTGGCATGGAAATAGTTTTGTTGAATATATGTGATTTTTTTTTTTAAACCAAAATACAATTTATAAGAAGTAGAGACAGAACATAAACTTTGGAGTAAGAAAGACCTGGATTTATCTGCCACTTATTAGCCTTGAAGAAGGAACTGGGAAATTTCTGTGACCTGGCTTATTTCTTTCCTTTCTTTTTAAGGTTTTAAAAATACATTTTTTTATTGATTTCAGAGAGGAAGGGCGAGGGAGAGAGAGATAGAAGCATCAATGATGAGAGAGAATCATTGATCAGCTGCCTCCTGAATGCCCCCTACTGGGGATCGTGCCTGCAACCCGGGCATGTGCCCTTGACCGGAATTGAACCTGGGACCCTTCAGTCCACAGGTCGATGCTCTATCCACTGAGCCAAACCGGCCTGGCTTATTTCTTCATCTGAGGAGTGGGAATAGCAAGACGGTATAGTGAGAATGAAGAGAATACACTCATGAGAATCTAGCATTTTGTCTGGTTCCATAAAGGCTGTCAAAGCTTAATTGCTATTCACACACTAGCACACTAGAGTGAGTGTGCATGTACCTCCATACTCCCCCCCCACCACCACCAGAGGGGGGTTAGAGGCTGCCATGTGCAGCTCAGTGCCCTCAGTGCCCATGGGGGGAGGGGCACAGCACATAGTTGGTGGCCAGGGAATGCCCATGAGTGCAAAAGCTTGCACCAGTGCAGAGGCTGGGAGAACTTCCACCCTTTGCGGTTCAAGCCCGGTGGTGAAAGCAGGCCTGGCCCCAAACCCTGGCTTCACGCCTGGACATCTCTACAAGGCAGGGGAAGTTCTTTCAACTCTTTGAATACTATGTGGATAACAATGCCTACTCCACTGGCTGGCTGAGAAGATAAATAGGGGATTTGCAAGGCCAGAAACATAGGCGTTGGCACATGGCTATTCAGTAAAATGATAGTGCTCAGTATCATCATTTATTTTTAGGGAGGCTTTCACTCCGGGAACAGAAAATCCTGGGTTTGAATGTTGGCTGTTTCCTCACACCCCATGATCGCGACTAAATTCCCGAATCTCCCTGAATCTCAGTTTCCTCACCTCTAAAAAAGGCGTAATTACACTACCTTGAAAGAAAACGTTAGGGCTAACATGTGATGATCTTTTTAAAACCCTCGTGAGGTTCTAGCATTGTGTCCGGCCCATTGTGCCTTGGTCTACAGAGGATGCAGAAATGATGTCTGTTGACTGTATGATGCCACCAGTCACCAAGTCCTACTAATTCCTCTGTGTCGGCCCCTGCTTTTCCTCTTTGGTTGCTGCCACCCAGTTCCAGAATGCTTCGCTATCCCTACCTCAATCCATCCCGAGCCCTTTACCCAGATTAATTTCCATAAATTAAGCCCCCCCTTATTCAGAGCACTGCCCAGCTCAGAAAGGAATTAACTTTTCCCAGCAGCAATAGCAAATGTCTAAATATCATTGGTTTAGAATTCAAAGCCTTTTTCCACTCTGTCTTTCATCCCCCAAATCCTTTCCCAGTTTTTTTTCCTAAAGGGTTTCTGTTGGCATCTGCTATTTCTCCATCTGAATATCCATGTAATTTCTGTGGCCTATCTGATTCCTCCTACCCGGTTCTGTCTCCAGCAGATTCGGCCACCAGCGACAGTTCTTAGGAACTTCTGTAGCATGCTAGATTGTTCAAAGGAGTCACAGATCAATTTGCTTGTGAATGACATGTTTGCAATTATTGGTGCTACAGAGTTTGACTTGAATAGTTAGTATTCAGATGCCCTATTATTTTTTTTGCATGGTCAAATTATGTTAATTTTTAGATGGCCTCTTCAAACCTATTGTACGTCCTTTTCAGACAAGAGCAAATTTTATTCTTTACATTCCCAGTCTCAAAAAACAACACAACTTTATATTAAGTAGGTACTTCAGAAGTGCCAGGTGAGGAATTCATATATTTCTACTTGACCCATAACGTTTCAGACTTGGTTCTAAGGAGAGAAGTCATTCACTGTTTTGCTTCTTTAAAAGCCATTCGGTTTAATTTTGCAGAAAGGGAGCTCTGTTAGCCTGAAGTAACTTGTTGGCCGTTGGTTGTAGGCATAGCTGCTTGGAAACTGTGTGGATTTTTGCTGTAGGACAGACCTGGGTTTGAATCCGGACTCTGAAGAGCTGTGTGGCCTTTAGCAAGTTGCTAAACATCTCTGAACGTCAGTTTCGGCCTATGAAACCCCGGGGTAATAAGGCCTAGGTGGCAGGGCTATGGTGAGAGTTTAGTAAAATAATAAATGTGAATACGTGCCCCCGTCGCAGGCACTTGGGAAAAACATCAAGACTTGCAGCCCAGGAGGCAGGGAGAAGGCTCGCATACTGGGACAACCACAGCTCTTGAGCCACACACGGGGAGCTGGGAAGGAACCCATGTCACCACAGGACCTCTGGAGGACGCTCTGGGACAGAAAGCATGTTTTAATATATGTGCCCAGTCCCTTCTCTAACGCTTAGCGCTATTTCTATCACGGAGCCTCAAAGTTGGGCAGATCCTCCTTTAGGGAAAACATTTACTCACCAGGCCAAGCGCATTGCTCCAGGCTGCTTTTGGGAGGGCTGTGGGCCTTTTAGAACAGCTGTCCATCAGGAGAAAGGTCTGAGGTACATCCCACAGAGAAATGCTGTCCGTATAAACTGCTATTCCAGAGAGGGACAGGCAGGACGGGGACCAGGGAAGAAAGGCGGAGGTCGAAAGCCTCAGGTAGGCACCCCTCCGTGGCCTTCTCTTAAAAATTCCCCATGACTGCAGCCCGTTTCCACCTCACTGAGAGCTAATCTGAATATCGCTACCTGTGCTGTAATCACGGTGATTGTTTGAGCTCCTAGGGCATCTTGCTTTTGTGGAGTTTCAGAATATCCCAATGGCAGGGAGCTGCCCAATTCTTCGCATCCTCCCGAGAAACCAGAACGCACCCATCATCCTGCTGGGAACGCTGAATGGCCTCCAAGGGCTCTGAATGGCAGGATGGGGACTTGGGGTGCAGATTTCAGGGTCCCAGTGCCCCTGTGGGTTAGGCTCCTGCCTGGGCCAGGAAGCAAGGAGGCAGAGAAGGCCTGTTCATGAACTTTGGTCACCTTGGCTCTCTTGCGCTCTGAGCCCTGCTTGGGGAAGGTCAGTACCCACACTCCCAGCCCCCTGCCCACCACCCAGCAGGGAGCTGCTGTGTGCCCACAGGAGCCACACGCCCCGCATGGCATATGTACACGGTGCCAGCGCACAGGGCTGCGCTCCGGACCTGAGTGGCGAGGCAGGGGCAGCTTCAACTACCCTCCGAGTGGAGCCTCCCAAATAGGAGAGGCTCCGGGTGACGCTGGGGAGAGTGGAGCCAATGCGTGCCTCGGAGGAGGGCCGCTCGGAGCCCTGCACAGCTTGGCGCTGCTGCTTCTTGCCAGTTGTGTGTTTGTGCGAGAAAAAAACACCCCGAGACGCTGCTGCCTGGCTGCGCCCCTCGCTCGCGCGCGCTCTCTCTTGCTCCCTCTCTCTTCTGCTCCTTCCCTCCCTCCCTTCGCAAACATTGGATTTAAACCTGCTCAGGATTCAGCGCAGAGGAAGGCGGCAGGCAGCCGGAGCAGCAGCAGAAGCGGCAGCCGCAGCCCAGAGGGACACCGCAGCCTCAAGATGTACCACCCCGCCTGCTGGGTCGTCTCCTCTGCCACCACCGCCCTGCTTTTGTTCGAGTCTGCACCGCGCTGCGCTGCGAGGCGCTGCTCTTACTGCGAAGGGGGCCGCCGGGCATTAACCAGTTGTGGTCCCAGGGGTAGGAGCAGAGGGGGCTGTCAGCTCCCAATCCTGCATCCTCCTCGCCACTTCTGGGGGGACCCGCGGGCTAGCCGGGGCATCCTTCTTTCTCCACCCTGGTCTCTCTGCTCCAGTCTCTACCTCTGCATCTCCCCGTGTCTGTTGCCTTCTGTCTCTTCCTGTCCCTTTTCTCTCTCCCTCTCCCTCTCTTCCTTCAGAGAGTCCTCTCTCCCCTACTCTCTCACTTCAGCTCCCATCTCTCCCCCCTCCTTCTCCTTGGCTCCCGCATCTCAGGGTTTCACACACAGTCCTTCTCTAGGTCTCATCCCTTCTTCAGCCCTCCACCAAATGGGCAGATGGTGCACTTGAAAATCCACATCCTCCCAGTTTCTCCCGGTGACTCCTCAGGAGGGAATCGGGAATGGCACTGGGTGGGATTTGAAATGCTCAGTGAGAAGGAAGGCTGGACTGATTCCCCTGGCTCCCCCCCCCCAACCCCCCCAACACCTTCCCTACCTCAGCTAATGATTTAAATGGGAGCCTACCTATCAGAGCCGTCCCTGGTTTGGGGGCAAACACATCCGCAGTGGCCCAGGTGAGATGCTGCAATCCTCCCAGAGTAAGCTGAGTGGAAGTGTTGCAAAACCCAACCCGTTTTAATAGATTTGATAATTGCATGCCTGTCGTTCTCTCCAGCCGTCAACTGCATGCCTGCAGGCATCCTTCAAACAATGCTCCAGGGCTGGGCTAGGCTTGCCAAGGATGTGGGAAGCATGGAAGGGTCTGTGGGGTTCCCGCACTGAACCCCAGCCCAGGAAAATGTTCTTCCCCCTGTCCCCCCTCAAACTGAGATACATGAATTTGGTTCAACATTAGCTTAAACCTAAAATTTCATGTAGATGACATAAGTACTAAGATTCTGAAATCTTAGATATCCTGATATAGGTACAACACAGGATTTTACATTTTTATATTCAAATCACTTTTTTTATTTTTATTTTTTGCTTTTGGGAACATAAATTCCTAAGTATTTTGTAAACGACCAAAGTGAAATCAGACAAATGGGAGTTTATGTGGGAGAAAGAGAAAAGGAGAAACCCGCTGCATGTTTTGTGATGCTTTTTTTAACACTGCACTTTGTCTAGCAGAGATGGGCTCTGCATAGCCATGGTCCCAGCTGTTCGTTTTAGGCCCAGAAGTTCCGTGTGCTGCTGCTGATCTTCCAGATTCAGGCCTGGGAGGAGATGTCAGTGGGGAAGGCAGGACAGGCAACGAACACGCAGTTCCTGCTCCCGCCTGTAGAGGGAGCCAGGCAGGCGCTTTGGGTCCACAGTGTGAGAAGACACACTTTCCTGTGTGTGCAATTCCGCGCCTGGGAGACAGCTCCTGGGACTTCCTAGCCTCTAATTTCCCTCCTACCACTGTTCTGGGCACAGGCGAGCAGAGTGATGGAGCTCAGGACCCCACCCCATGGGATGCCGGCTGTGTGCTTGCTCTCCCTGTAGCAGGAATCAGAAAATTACACTTCCCTAGAGGCGAGGAGTGAGCCCCAGCAGCCAAAGCTGCATTGCAGTGCACCCTATGGAAGCAAAGGATCGGGGAGCTGCCTCCCTGTAGAGTCTCCATGGCACCCCAAACACAGCTCCACTCCACTGGTGGGGAGCCTGGCCTTGCTTGTGAGGGAGGCAGCCACAGGAAAGCTGGCTGGGCCCAGGGAATGGCCTTAGCCTGCCAGCCAGTCAGCTATCCCCAGAAAAAAGCATTTCCTGTGAGGAGGGAAGGCAGGCCACCGGTGCGACCTGCTCTAGGACGGCTGGTCATGCCCTCTGTGCCAGGAACCTGGCCTTGGAGGTCTTGAGCAGAGGAGGGGAAGCTGGCCTGAAGGGTTGCACCTGGAGAGAAGGGGACATCACTTCTTGAAGGGTTCCTGGGAGAGAGGGAACCTGGCTGTATCCAGAAGTTCTGGTCAGCTGCAAGGGCTTACTTGTGACTTCTCCATCCTCACTTATTTGACTTCCTTTGTTATGTTTTCAGATTCCCACCCCTCTTTGTATCAAAGGATGCTTGTTCTCCCATCGCGGTCAATACCCGCTCATTAGTCATTTGCTTTGCCTGCATCTAAAGACAGGCTAACGTAATCATGGAACCTTGACCTGGTTAGGCCTCGATGCCATCTTATTCTGCAGCTTTCTGTTTCTTGGGAAAACACGTTTTCATCCCAGACTAATTTTAAGGCTAATGCTGTTGTCGCCCGGTGCCCTCCAGGGGAGACCGATGGTCACAAATTGCTTTTCTAGGCAGACTCTCGGGGATGGGAAAGGCAGTAACAAGTGAAGGCTGTAAAGAGCCCACACCCAAGATGGGGAGAGGGTCTCCCCTGACAATTTGATGGTCACTTAAAAGCACCCTAACTTAAGCTGGGGCTGAAGACACCCCATGAGCCCTGAACACGGAGAGGGAGGGCACTTCTGTTGTCCAAGGTGGGAGGACAGATGAGACTGTGCTGAGAGCTTTGGGACCTCGGGCCTGGGGGCTTTGTGGGAAGATGAGTAGGTGGCAGAAACAAGCCTGGAGAAGCAGGACATGAAGGGTGATGGACATTTGCATCCAAATCACCTGGGGGAGGGGCAGATTAAAACACAGACTTCTGCCCTAGCTGGTTTGGCTCAGTGGATAGAGTGTCGACCTGTGGACGGAAGGATCCTGGGTTCGGTTCTGAGTGGATAGAGCGTCGGCCTGTGGACCGAAGGATCCTGTGTTCCCTTCTGGTCAAGGGCATGTGCTGGGTTATAGGCTCCATCCCCAGTAGGGGGCGTGCAGGAGGCAGCTGATCAATGATTCTCTCTCATCATTGATGTTTCTATCTCTATCTCCCTCTCCCTTCCTCTCTGAAATCAATATATATATTTATTGATTTAAAATAAGTAATTTAAAAATATTTTTTAAAAAACCCCCAAACCACAGACTTCTATCCCCACTGCAGACAGGTATTTTTATCAAGCACCCCAGGTCCTGGCCTACAGCCTTCAGATGGAAACCCCTCTCTGCCTGCCTTTCATTCTTTAGCTCTGAGAAATGGGAGAGCGGGGGCATGGGGTGGGATGGGGCGTTGCTACCTTTAGTGGCCAAGCACTGCCCCCCAAACAGCCAGCTCACTGCTAGGAGGAGTGAATCTCCAGCCTGGAGGGCTCCCTTTCTCTAGTGTAGCTCACTACCCCTTTCCTCAGCTCATCCCCCTGTGCCTTTTGTCTTGCGACTCTAACCAGGGAGTTAACGGGGAGGCCTCTCCGGCTACCTGGGCTGGACCAGGCAATGTCCCGTGCCCAGGCCTGTGAGGCAGCATCCACAGCCGCAGCCAGGCCTCCCGTGTCTTGCTACGCTTGGCGCTATGAGAGTCAGCAAGCCTTGACTTGGACAGACAGTTCTGAGAGGGACAGGGTTTCTCTCCCCCAGCATGCAGCTGCTCACAGCCTCCTTCAGGCAAGTGCCCTGGACTGTGGGGTCTTGAGGCTGGATGCTTGGCTTTGGGGTGAGACATGGGGGAGGGTTCCAGGGAGTCCTTTCCCCACCCTTCCCCAGCACAGTGTTGAGGAACCTGCTAAGGTTGCCCAGGTTTGTATGAGGGATCCAGTAGGCGAATCATCCGCCACTGGGAAAAACCTAGCCCCAGAGTGACTTTAAAATACACGAACAAGGACTCAGAGTCCATTTGTGATCAAGGCCTCATCATCTCTCTGCCCATCATAGATCTGTGCCCTTCCTCCCCCAGTCTCCAAGCTGTCCGTGGCCCTCAATCCCTTAAAATGATAGACATGTGAATAAGGTTGGACCACTTCCTGGCAGCATGGACCCTGGGGCAGGAGCAGACTGGGGGGAGGAGACAGGTGTAGGCTGCCCCATAAAAATGTTTTCAGTAGCTTGGCACTGGGCAGAGTGGCTCCAGCGGAGATTAATCAGAGACCCCACATGGCTCGGGATTCTCTTGTAGTGCTTCAGTCCTGCCTGCCTCTGGTCTTTCTCGCATTCTTAGCGCCCTCTGCCACTTCCTGTTGCCTGGGAGATGACAGGGGATTCCTTAAACAGTTGGCACTTGCCTGGGTTTGTTGTTTAGCAGCTCCGGGCCTCTCCCACCAGCCACCAGGAGCCATACCCTCACCCTGCAGCAGAGCTTCCCCTGGGCAGAGGCTCTTGCCTTGAGGGGGGACTTGACCTGAGCCTCTGTTGCCATCAGCAGAACTGAGACTCTGCCTGGGAACTCTCTGAGGTTTGCTTGGTTAGCTCTCTGGGTCTCAGTCTACCACTTCATAGGATGGGTTCCAGTGATGCATTCTTCCTGTTTCCAGTAGGACAGAGTAGCCGAAAGCATAGGATAGATGATAACAAGATAAACATGTATGAGTTTTTTAACATACAAAACACACACTGAGAAGGGGAGGGGAGAGGGCATGCCTTATTGTTGGAGACAGAGGCAAAGCTGGACCATCCCAACTCATGTCTTTGTCACAGAGATGAAAACTAGCTGAACACAGTCCTCCCATGTATTTATTCAATAACACTTTATATAGATTCCGGTGAAACATATACATTAGGTACGGTACTATCCTGTCTCAAGAAATATAGATCCAGTAAAACAGGAAATTATTCAGTCTTTTTCTTCTTTTGGATCCCAATGAAATATGCATGCTAGCTCGGAGCTTCTGGGACTGTGGTTTCTCTGTGTGCAAAGCGAGGGCAGCAGACATGGCCCCTGTGGTCTCCTAAAATATTGCTTTCAGGGCTCTGGGTGGGGTGCTGTGCCCATGGCCTTGTGCATCAGCCTCTGCCTGTTGGTACTCCAGGAGCCCTGCTACCTTCGGCCCGTGGGCTGTGGTATTCCTGAGCCTGCCTCACTGGATGGGAGCCGTGGACCGCTGCCACGGCCTGCAGCTGCCTGAGCTGGGGAGAAGGAGCGATGGAAAGCAAAACCTAGCTATTCCTGTCAATGAACCCAAGTGTCGGCCCGCAGATGGCCCATGGCCGCTGACAAGCCCAGCTGTCAGCCCCGTTGGCTATTAGCACTTCTGGATGCTGAGTGGCACCTTCTAGACACAAGGGCCGGGCAGGAAGGAGGAAGGGGACAGACTGGCATCACCTAGGGCAGTGGTTGGCAAACCACAGCTCACGAGCCACATGCGGTTCTGTGGCCCCTTGAGTGTGGCTCTTCCACAAAATACCACATGCGGGCACACACGTACAGTGCGATTGAAACTTCATGGCCCATGCGCAGAAGTCGGTTTTCAGAAAGGAGATAGATGAGACAAGTATACAAGATGAGTGTGGATGGGAGAGTTGGAAGGGGTTGACCTCAGCGAACGTACCTCAATCAGATTGAGGACGTTTTTAGCAAAGGCCAGCTTAGGAGTCCCCTAATGAAGTTAATAACAATGTACCTACCTATAGAGATTCAGTTTAAAAATTTTGGCCCTCAAAAGAAATTTCAATCATTGTACTGTTGATATTTGGCTCTGTTGACTAGTGAGTTTGCCGACCACTGACCTAGGGTCATCTCTGTTTTCCTCTCCCACTCCTCCTGACCCTGCGAAAGACACCAAGCTCTGGGCCCTGCAGGTGTTTGTCCCTCTTGTCCTTTTATACTAAGAATTAGACTTTGCTTCTTAATCTGTGAGGCCTTGCTGTCTCTGCCTTTCCCTGAAGGGCGAGGAGGTGGGTCGCAGTGGGGCACAGACATAGCTCCATTTGCTATGCTTCTACACCTGTCCTGAGAAGGTGGTATTTGTAGGCTGAGCAGGATTGAAGGTAACACTGAGAATGGAGAAGAAATGGATTCCATAGTCAGAGACCAACCTGAAGACAGATGTGCTTACTCTGGCCTTCCCGTAGGTGAGTGACTATACATACCCTCCTCTCGTCACCCTCTCCCACTCATGTCAACACACACATGCTCCTTCCAAGTCCCAAGCTCTGGGCCCTGCAGGTGTTTGTCCCTCTTGTCCTTTTATACTAAGAATTAGACTTTGCTTCTTAATCTGTGAGGCCTTGCTGTCTCTGCCTTTCCCTGAAGGGCGAGGAGGTGGGTCGCAGTGGGGCACAGACATAGCTCCATTTGCTATGCTTCTACACCTGTCCTGAGAAGGTGGTATTTGTAGGCTGAGCAGGATTGAAGGTAACACTGAGAATGGAGAAGAAATAGATTCCACAGTCAGAGACCAACCAGAAGACAGATGTGCTTACTCTGGCCTTCCTGTAGGTGAGTGACTATACAAACCCTCCTCACGTCACCCTCTCCCACTCATGTCAACATACACACACTCATGCTTCCAAGTCAGAGTCTAGCTCTTCTCAAAATCACATCCACAACTTCTTAAGGAAAAGCAAGCCACTCCCCCAGGACTCCCATCCCCGCCCTTCAGAACTCCCTGCTGCAGCATCCATCCAATCCTTGGTCTCCCCGTGGGCACCCTCCCAGCAGGCTGCCCCCAAACAGCCATGGCCATGCGTACATGAATGCTTCCCCTAGTGACTCAGAGGCCTCGCCCTCCTGCAAGCCCCCTCCCCCCACTAGCCTCTGTGTCCCAGGGCTGGACGTTGGTCTTGCACTTCATTTACATCATCCCCTGCAGCCCAGACCCCTTGGTGCTGTGCCGAGAGGCTGGAGGCTCCGCTGCAGTCACCAGGTGAACTTAATTAATTATTTGCAAAATGCTTTGAGACACCCCTGGGCGATGTGCGGGGTAAGAGCAAAGCTTTATCACGATGCAGTCACATTTCCTTCCGTGAGCGGATACCGTGCTGAGAGATCTTGGAGGGCCGAGATGAGTCAGTGCAGGCCATTGATGAGCATGCTGCTTGCACGTCCTGGGAAGTGACGAAGGGACAGTCAGCTGCTTGCCAAAACTCAGCCCGGAGAACTCCAGCACATTCGGCCTCTCAAGGGCCAGGCTCTCTGAGGTGGTCTGATGAACAGTCTTCCTTTTTAATTCTTGAAGCTTGTCACCTGAGGACACGAATTTATAAATGCTGTTTGCTGAGTCTCGGGAGTTTATTTAGTTGTTGTACTAGTCTCTTGATTTATGGTTGACCCGGGAGATTACCTTTGGGCTCATGTGTTTGCCATCCAGGAACTGTGAAATAGGCAGGGTACAGGTTGTTTCTGTCTCAACATCTCTTCCATCCTTTGAGGTTCAGCTTAAATTGTGCTTTTCTGGGAGAACATTCTTGAGGTTCTGAAGTAGGTTAGGTCTCCATCTTTATTATGCAATAAGTGTAATAAAGTCCACAATAACAGGTTTCTCCTTAACATTGTGAATATATATATGTGTGTATATATATAGATATACCTATATATCTATATATAGAGAGATATAGATATAAAGATATATATTTGTTAATACTCACCTGGTGATACTGTTTTCATTGATATTTTTAGAGAGAGGGTAAGAGAGGGGGAGAGACAGAGGAAGAGTAGCATGGATGTGAGAAAGACACATCGATTGGTTGCCTCCTGCACGTGCCCCAACTTGGGGATCGAACCTGCAACCGAGCTATGAGCCCTTGACTGGAATCCAACCTGAGACCCTTCAGTCCATGGGCTGACGCTCTACCACTGAGAAAAACTGGCTAGGGTGAATCCGTATATTTTAAAGTAATTTGCTTTATATTTCTCTTTTCTCCCTAGACCATGGTTCATCTGTCTTGTTCTCTAGCAGAGTGACAGATATAGAACAAGTACTCAACATGTATTTGTTGAATGAGTGAGTGTATGAATGAATGGACAAATGAATGAATAACCAGCCAAGGTCACACACATACCAAGTGTCTATTCTATCATTCTCGTCCATCCCACTGAATCCTCGGAGGCATCTGGGACCCTAGGTCTCGGCCAGCCTTCCAGCTTCCCCATCTGCAGAATGAGAACAGAGAGGCGCGGGCATGTGCTTTGCTAACGGGAGATAAAAATGTGCAAAGAATGCTTATAATGATTACTCATTCCCGTGTTCCTGCTTGTCAATAAACACCAGCTCCAAGCTACCGACCAAACACACACACAGCAGCTCAGAGCTGGAGCCTCATGCTTTCGAATTTCACATCACACGTTGCGACAGACACGCCTGAGAGTGAGAGTCACTCCGTAAACACAGATGTAGGCCCTGATGTGGGCTACTGGTTTCATATAAATGGAAATTACTCAGCAGATTTAATT